ATATATATAATATATATATACGAGCTGGGTGCCCCGTTCGATGACCGGACTCCAAAGAATCGATCGTCAAGTCATTGTGGAACCATCACTTGTTTACAATGGCGTCTAAGAAGACGAACTTTCCCAAGATTAGATCTAAACGAAACTAATGAAAAACTTAAAATTAAACTACAGTGACTTCAGACTCCATATTATAACTGTGCACCCGTTGAATGATTCTGAACCACCGTTAATTTTGTCAAATTCGAAAGTCCAGTCGTTGCGAAAGTATTGCGAAGTACGACTTGAAATCAACAAACCTGGAGGTTTTTTAAAATTACAGAGACGGTAGCGTCGACCTACAAAAGCGATCGGCGAAACAAAGAAATTTAGCTTTTTGCAGCAAAACTGTCTCAAAACTGGAAAAACGAAAGGCGTTATGATCAGGAGAATATTTTAAAGAATCTTTTGGCAAAAACCGCAGGTCGAACATGCAGCCATTAAAAAGCCTTTTGAATAGCAAAATTCGGCCCCACAAATACATTATACTAGCTGGGCCCCCTTTCGATGAAAGGAATGATCGGTGCATTAACATCATCTGAAAGTCATTGGCCTGCTATATTTACACTCTACGGGAATGGAGCAATAAATCTTAAGAGATGCAAAAAATTAGAAGGTCTAGATCTAGACCTATACTCTGAAAACAAAATACGCCTCGCAAAGTATCACTTCCGCACCAGATTTTCTAAAATTACAGATTCAGAAGCGTCGGCCTACAAAAGCGATCGGCGAAATAAGGGAGTAACAGGAATACAGGAATAACCGAAGAATGGATGGGAATTTTGAAAGCATGTAACACATTCTGTCGAGACGTTATTTACTGGGTGTACATGTAGTTACCAATGTAAAAGAACGAAGGCATCAAACAATAAGTGGGCGTCGAAACGAAATATATCGAGAGGATGCTTTGGACGCGTAATGAGAATAGGGACACAACTGCCAGCCTCAAAGGTCTACAAGATGCGATTCGATGGCTTGGGAGCAAAAGGAAGACTAATAAAAAGATGGATCGATGGAATCAAAGACATCCTTCAAAGGCACACTATATATATATGTCGATCGGAAAAGCAACACACCTGGTCCATGTCCGAGAACTGAATCTCTCCTCGACACCACGCAGTAGAAGAGATCATCATATAAAATAAGAGTAAAGTGTAGTGTACACAGCAGGTTTTTGCAAAGCCCCAACGTGTGTACTTTGTATTTCCTCTTCCATTTTACTCAAACAATTTTGGGGGGCTCTCGTGGCCTAGAGGTTAAGGTGTTGGCCTCTCATTCAAAGGTCCCAGGTTCGAATCCGGGTAGCGACCACAAAGTTTTCTTTTCTGGAATTGTCTCCTTTCACCTCCTTTCCTGCTCTCTAGCAATATTCTGTCGTCTGCTTTCGTCTTCTCTTTCTGCCCCCACCCCCTCACCTCCTTTGCCCCCTCCTCTGGGCTCCTGACTCTTTCTGCACCTTTCTACTACTACTCCTTGACTCCTCCTTACTGCTGTCTTTCTGCCACACCCCTGATCTTCTGGCAGGAAAGATCTACACCTAGCCTTCTCGGACAAGGGGGAAAAATCTCGGAGGGCCAGTGTGCAAGTTGCGCACGTTAAAGATCCCTTGGAGGTCTAAAATCGATAAGAGTAGGCTTCGGCCGCCACCCGGGCAAAATTCAAAATTTCCTACCAACTAAAAAGTATTAGGTGTGTCCCGCGCGCTCACATGACCTTATGCAGTTGCGAGCGCCGTAAAACACTTACAACCCCCCCCCCCAAACCCCAATTTTAAGCGACGTTAGCATATTGTACTCTTGCCTCATTGGCTTAAAGGTTGCTCCATGTCTTTCCTTAAACTGATGGTCAATATTAGAATCGTATAACTTGTACTGTCGAAACGTTTTCTGGAATAAAGCAAACAATGGCATCAGCCTCCCAGTTTCTGTTCTCTTCCTACTGATTCTTATTTTCTTCTGCTCACCGTTCGGGATTTCTATTTTCTTTCATTACTACCCATTTCTGCCACGTTGCAGTGAGTCTCATGTCTTCAGAGTATGCTATGATTGGATCCTTTTACTTTGCTTCATCCTTCCTCTTGCATCATAAGAAGTTGGGGGAGAGGGGGGGGGGTATAATTTTCAATCAAGGGCAGTGTAGGTGGCTTCTGTTGTTGAAATTTTATTCTTTCGGAGGACCTCTATCCTCTATAACGCTATCCTCTATCCTCTATAACGCTATCCAGCAAGGTTTTGCGTGGTCTGGACCTGCCCTTGTATCCGTACATATTAGAGTTGTAAGCTTGTGAAGCTGGTTGATTTGGTGACACTCTCATCAGATGACCAAACCACTTCATCCTTTGATGTTCTTGTTCCATAACCGGTTTCTGTTTTATATCGTAAGTCAGTGTTGGAAGGAATATGCTGTGAGTAAATCGTTGTCTTTTTACTTCCATTGGTAGGTGTTTATGGGTGAGTAGTGCTGACGATTTTTAAGTTTCTGCATTTGCTTTTGGGTCCTGATTTCAATTTTCCTATGTCCAATCTTCCGTCATGTGTAAGCATGCTCCCAAGCTATTTAAATTCCTCAACTGGTTTAAGTTGTATCCCGTCGATGGTGATGTTTAGTAGTGGGACTGGGTTTCTAAGATCACACGATCCATGCATGCATGTTTTGACCAAACTGGAGCAGGAATAACATATAGATGAACACGATGCATAAACAATGCGTCAGCTATCAACTCTGAGTTACCACAAATCTTGCACGCACAAGTGTTTTGATCTAATTATTAAATAGCTTCGGCTACCAAAAGCTTGTTAAACAAAAGTTTGAACTGCTCTGGTACTATCAGTACAGATGTTCTACGATGTCATTCAACAAACGTTTTTGGGTTTAAAAAATCTCTTTCATGGTAACAATATTTTTAAACTTCAAAATTCTCGAGTTGTCTGGCCAAAGGAAAAAACCCCTAAATGTGCAGTTTATCCATCTGCAGAGTTGAAAGCACTTTTTTCTTCAGTTTCCTTTTGTTCTTTATGTTGAAAGTTCTACAAAATTAAAAATTGCTCTGGATTTTGTACTTTCTTAATATTTTTCCAGAAGCCAACCTTCGAATACTTTTGTTTTCTTTTATCAGTCTTCCAATTCACCCAGGAGAGCAAAAGGAAATTTCAGTATTCTTTTCACTGCCTTCTTGCTCTCAGATTAGGTTTTCATTTTCAACTTTAATTTTCTTTTTCTCTGCACTGTTTTCATTGCAAAACTACACTTTAGTCTAGAAAAAAACCACACTTGAGGATGGGGCATCTGCTGTTTTGTAATCGGCACAGTTTGATTTCCTCTTCAGATTTGTGTTTTTCTTCGTTTTTCTCCATTCCACACATGCTGCCAAATGGTCTCTTGAAATCATACAAACGACAGGTTTCCTTTCCCTTTTTTCTTTATCTTTGATACAGTTCTACTTTTCGTACTGCATGTCGTGCAATGTCTTCACTGGGTTCTTGTTTCGCCTCTCTTCTCTGTCTCTTCTTTATTACTTTTTTCAGCAGGAGTCAGCTTTGTCTCTGGCGGAAAAAAGCAAATATTAATTTTTAAAAGTCCTGTTTGAGAAATCAACTATATCTAGGGCCTGCCCTTCATACAATCAATTTAGATCTAACATAAATGGCATTGTGCTGAAGTCAACTAAGCTGAGCTGATTTCATGTGTGACAAATTTTCTGCTAGGAAGATTCTTATTTCTTACTTCAGTCTACATTTACGTCTCTGCGACAACGCGAAATGCACTTCTAAATCTGCAACTAAATAAAAGATCTAGATCTAGACCTACGTTTTAAGAACTCTTTGGTTAAAATAGTTAAATGGTACTGGATTATTTTAGAGGTGGGACCTCCGAGTTTAACGGTTAATGTCCTGTCCGAAAGGACGGAGCCAAATGGGAAATTTAAGTGCCTTTCTCAAGGACACAACATTGTACCGAGCTGAGGCTCGAACCCCTAAACCTGCAATATCACAATTACTTAGAACTCTTCGATACCATTTATCAAAATAGAAGGTTCTAGACTTTGGTGGAACAAAGTAGGTAGCATTATTATTGTAATCGATGTAGGAAACATGGAAGGTTTTGTCTTTCATTTGACTCTGTTCCCTCGCTATTGCTCTCAATCCCATCCTGTTGCCTAAATTACAAAATCACAATACAGGAGTTTGTTGAAAAATTTGAGACACATCTTTCATATAATAACTATTCTGTTTTGTTTGTGCATAAATGACCCATTTTCAACCCCAACTTTGGTCAGTTTAGCTGTCCCCGTGGTTTAATGCACCCCGCATAATTGAGAAAAATTTGATCATTTTTTGCATAATTTCTGATTATTTTCCTTTATCAATCTTTGTTAAAATTAACAGAATCGCATAATTTCAAATTTTTGGGCTCATTTTGACATAATTTCATAATTTTTCGTGCATAAAACGACGGGGACAGGTTTAGCTACCCCTCCTACTTGCTATCTTGTATTCTCTCCTGTTACTCTGATTTCCGTCCTGTTACTCAAAGATAAAAATTACAATTCAGGTGTTCTGTTGAAAAACACAAACATGCCTTTAGTTTTAACCTCTTTCATTTACTCCATTAAGCATGGACTACCTCACATTCTAACCCAAACTGTGGTCAGTTAAGCTATTGAGCACATTCCTTTCTCTCCTGTTACTTTTTTATTCTCTCCTGTTACCAAAACCCGGGTAACAGGAGGGAAAGTAACAGGGGAGAATTTTGTACATCATTACCCTGATGACCACTCACTGGGTAGAGCTAATGTTATGGATTGCTTTACCATTAAATGTAACCTTGGCAGACTTCCTAACCAAAGGAGAGAGTATCGGATTTCTGTAAAATAAGTCGTTATAGACCCCGGTAACAGGAGGGACTTTTATGCTCAAATACTCACCATGTTGGGTTGAACTTGACTCTGTATCTTTCAATCGTGCATTGCATGAGCTCCTTTGTCTCATGTTATGTCAAGAAATATGAAGGGAGTCTCAACTTGCAAAATCTCAAAGAAATACATTCATATTTAGGGGCCATTCATCTGTGTGAAATGCTGGGTAACAGGAGAGAACTTTGAAATGGGTTAAGCAAAATATGGAGATAAAGAGTTAATAAACAAATATAAAACAAGGATGGGCACCAAGATTTTTTAAAGCTCGGTACTGCTGTCCAATACTCTGTATAACTGTGAAATATTTAATCCCTGGTGCCATGATTTTTTATCCCTAAGCATGTTTTAAAAAACATATACGTGTTGCGGAACTTGCCTTTTTTTGCCTACTGAGCAAGATTTACAAAAGAGCCGTGAAATGTATATGACTTGGGCAGTTTTGAAAACCTGATTTTAAGATCAAGGAACATTTTACCTTGTTCATGAACATAGTCAATGGCAATTTTAAGCAATATTTAATATTGGTATCCAAGGAATTAGGTCTGGAATCACAAATTCAAAAAATGCGTCATTTAAAAAAAAAAGACTCATATATATATATATATATATGTATATATATATATATATATATATATATATATATATATATATATAAAGAGAGAGAGAGAGAGAGAGAGAGAGAGAGAGAGAGAGAGAGAGAGAGAGAGAGAGAGAGAGAGAGAGATCCTCCTTAAAGTATTAGTTATTAAAACATACTAGTAGTAAGAAGCAAAGATACAATGACTGTTTGATTCAAAGGGAGTACATTACTATTTTTCATGTGTTTTGAGAACGTAAGGGACTACCGTACGTTGTCTTAGGTCTAGAAAGCATAGGTAAAAGGCCTTCACTTAAGACAGCCAATGTCTTCACACAAGAACATAGAACAAAAGAGTTGAAAAGTAAAAATAATTACAGTATCCTTTGTATTTTAAAATGGGATAAAAATTTACAGACTGTATTGATGCCCAAATACTGCAGTCTTAATTGTTAGGCTTGTGTCGTTGGGTTCCTTAGCCTATTAATAATAAACCGCTATCTCACACATTGCTCCCCCCCCCCCACACCCTTTTACCAGTCATGTATGTATCGCTTTCCTTTTTCTCTGACCAAAATCACCGCCCATATTCAGGTCGTTACTCATCATTGTTTTGTGAACGCACCAATTAAAATTAAAAGAAAGAAAGGCTGGCTCAACATTACATTTACACAAAGGCGATCGGACAGTCCCAGAGTACAGGCGCAAAGTCTGTCTTACAAATTCGGATGCACACTTGATCAGGGAAACAAAAGCACCGAACAAATTACAGTTCGATTTGATCCCATCTTGTTGGCCTTGCTACAGAATCACACCTCGCTGTAGTTCGATGTTCGGAGAAATCAAAGGAGTTGAAGAGTTCACACGTGGGTGTGATCCTTTCATAGTGAGGTCTTTGCATCTGAGGCGAACATGGCACTCATGGAAAAATTTTGAGAGGAGATAATATGATCGTAGGCATGAGCGTGGATGATCTATGAAAGGATTTTTGTTTCAGTAAAGTATGATCTAAAATGTGGGAATTTCAAACTGCAGAGTGGGATCTTAGGGGTGACTTTAGTGTAGTAAAATATGTTTTTTTGGTTGGTTTTTTTGGGTTGTTTTTTAAACAACTGAATCTTAAGTGAACCGGGATCATAAACATACTATTAAAGGAGATTCAAAATTTTTTTCCAATCCACCCCCCCCCCCCTTTTCCTTCATGTTTCTTTAACAGAGCAGTTATTCATCATTGTTGTTAAACAGGTACTGACTTTCTTTTTCTTGTAAATGTGGAGCTGCTATGACATCTACATTTAGATATTAGTAAAATTAATGAGATACATGGGTTTTGGAACATAAAAAGAGTCTGGTTAACTGATTGAAGTCAGTAAGCTTAGGTGTGTATGATTAGTATGAAAACAAGATACATCAAGTAGAGACCTAGACAAGATATAGATTTGCATAGCATTTAATATGTACTCACAATGGAAAGCAATCTACCCATCAAATAGTTGGGTCTTTTTAAAAAAATCAGGTATCTCGGTCTTTCTGTTTGGTTGTTGTACACTTAAACACAACACAGGTGGAGGGCATTTGTATTAATAACTGACTTGCCTATTCTCAAGAACCTCAGAATAAAACCTTCTTTCCTATCTAGATTTCAGAGCAAGAGTCGGTAGCCTAATGCGCAGCGCAGGTTTTAACATAGTTGCACTGCGAGAGAGGGCTTCTATCGGGCATGCGTTGCCGCCCACAGAGCAGCCTCCATTACTGTATAAGGTACTTGGTTAAAACTGACGGTGTTGTCCTCCTCCGTCGTGGTAAGATACTCATACATGCCGATCTTCTAAATCCAGCAAGAAAAACAGTCATCCGCGTACCATATTGTACATTTTGATACGCTGGTTCCGAATTTGTAACTATTTTCCCATAAAATGTAGCATTCAATAAGTTTATAAACAAAATTTTACTGTCGGCGGGCCGCACCGATACCATGATCAATGCCACCAAGATGAGGTATTCGCTTAGCGCAGTTGCTGCAAGTTCCCCGGCCGAATTTTTTCTCTGTTTAAAAAAAATAGAGTCGCTGTTTCCCCGGTGCTCTGAAATAAATCAACAAACGTAGCTGTAGAAGCGTGTCATAAATGTGTCACTCTCAGAGCTTAACAAACTGTTATACCTCCACTTCTCATTAAATCCTCTCGTCTCCCCAGTGGGCTCACTTGCCGTGTTTGCAGATATGAACGAGCAGGCTGAGGACTCTGTTGCGGGTAAATTTTTGTAACAATTTTTTTTAAAATGTAGATGTTAAAGGCCCAAGTCAAAATGATTTAGACCTTTTGGAGGCGGGGTTGGAACCTACCTATCAGGGGCAACCCGGGCTGAGAAGGATACAGCAGAAAGGCAGAAAAACTCGACAAAAATTCTCCCTCTATGGAAATTGAGCTTCGGTCTTCTGCGTGCCACAGCGAAGGTCCCAATCGCTACAACACAGACGCCGGTCGGGTAAGGATTGAGTTCAGCCCGTTTGTGTGTAGTTCTCCTCTCCCCCACGCGTTTTGAACCGCCACCTTTTGTAGTCTACATAAGGCCCTCTACTAATATACGTTCCAAACTGCCGGTTCGGAATGGAAAGGCTAACCTGGCGGCAGAACTACAAATGAGGATGGAAAACTGCTAGAAAAAACCCCCATCCCCCCCAAAAAAACAACACCCAAACAAACCGGGAGGCCGTACCGGCGGTTTCAACGTGTAGATTTTCTGAATACAGTTCAGCGCGTTCCGTCGACGACAGCCTTTGTGTGAGCTCGAGAGCTTAGCCGGCTTGTCTTGTTTGGCTCCTCGTCCGCTGCGGTTTTTCGTCACTTGCAGGCCAGGCTCACATGCAAATGAGCTTGTTTTCGTCAATATCATCGAAATGGTTTACCGCAAATAAAATCTTATTCCGTTTTTAAGCGAGCGACCCATTTTTAAGAAAAGATGAAAGCAGAATTTGTGTTTTTTCAACAATTAAAGAGAAAACAAAATTCTTCCCCATAAGCAGCACAAAAAAATGACATGAATTGCAAGCAATTCGTCATTGTCAATAGACCCGCTGCGGTTAAACCACGCGTGATGTGGATGACGCGATGACGTGCATTTCCGATTCGTCAACCAGCAGCCACATCATGAATCGTCAGCCACATCATACCTTTGACATGTGTCTAACGTCAATCTATTTATTGATCTAGTTACCGAAACATAGGCGAAGTGATGTGCCATGTGAGAGTCGCGATATTGAAATTGTTTAGGTCTCTCTTTACTCATCCCCGCAGGAATTTGTTGATGTTGACCTGACCATCAATGATTTATTTATAGAGGCACCAGCCATCCGTGTCCAGGTGCTGTTTTAGCCTCTTTTTCCTGTATTCGGATTAATAATATCTTTTTGTAAATTTTTGGTTCCGCTTCTATATACCCCATATCTATGGTTTTCAACCTGGAAATCGCCTATAATTCGCTGTAGTTGCCCCCCCTCCCCCCACCCCTTCTCATCACCCCCCCCCCCCCCTTATAGTGTCATCATTTATGTTACCGTCTATTTTTATCGATAACACGTTTATGGATTAAGGGCAGTATTAATGATAATTAGGAAAAAAACCCATCAATTAAATAAATAAATAAATAAATAAATAAATACATACATAATATATAAATAAATAAATAAATATGCTAATGATTACCATAATACAAATATTGATAATGAGAAGAAGAAGAAGAAGAAGAAGAAGAAGAAGAAGAAGAAGAAGAAGAAGAAGAAGAAGAAGAAGAAGAAGAAGAAGAAGAAGAAGAAGAAGAAGAAGAAGAAGAAGAAGAAGAAGAAGAAGAAGAAGAAGAAGAAGAAGAAGAAGAAGAAGAAGAAGAAGAAGAAGAAGTGTTGATGTTTTCGATTTTTGGAATCCTGTACATTCAAGAGATTAAATAAATTGGACAAGACCTAGTAGCAGTTGTATTATTTCTACTTATAAACTTTAAACCTTCAAGATTACCACAAGGCTTCATTTTGTTGAAAGTGTTTAATACGATGTCTCAGAAGTTAGCAAACTTAACACATTTTTCAAACTAAAGAAAGCTTAAATTGACTTTTACATTGTCTATAAGAGATCGTGTTTAGTCATCTAATAATCTAAGTTAGGAATAAAATGAACACAGGTTCAAGATTGTCCTAGTGACTCCATACTAGATCTAGATTTAGTGGCACCTAGATCTAATACTCATCCCTCTTAACAAAAAGTAGATCTAGATCTAGACTAGGTCACAGCCATACAGCTGCCAAGATATATACATTTGCTGTGCTTGAAAAGCAATCAAAATCACAAATTCTGAAAGAAGTGATATTTTATCAAAATAAATATTCCTCCACTGCCTCTAGCATTCGTTTTCAGTAAATCCAAAACAAGCAGACGAACGAGCATGTATACATTAATGGACGATCTAGAGCTAGATTAGATCTTATTTTGATAGATGCTACTGGGCCTAGAATCTAGATATCTAGATCTAGATAGATCTAGAAAAATCTACCTTGTTTTGTCTGAGAATGAACATTCCTCTTTTGTCCTCTAATAATAATTATTATGCTAAGTCTGGAAACCGATCTTTTAATACTTTTATTGCCTCATCTTCTGAACTAGCAGTAGATAACTAGCAGATTGTTCTTTCTTGTCTTCCTCCAATCCTCCAATGGCAGAACACATCAACTCATCCATATCTATGTTTCTCTTTTCTGTAGTAGGCCTAGGCTAGTAGCATCTTCGAGCATCTCACACGGCACCAGGTTGGACACGGAACGACATGTTGTCTAAAAATAGAAACGGAAAACACAATTGTTTTGGCTCAACGTCACTAGGGATGTGGCTGACGATTCGGGATGTGGTTGTGCGTGGACGAATCGGGAATGCGCCGCACCGACCCGTCCAATACCGGTTTTGCGCAGCGGTTCGAACCCCGGTTCCCACTTTGGTCAAAACCGCTCGGTTGGAACATACATGTGTTGGCTCGACCTCATTACACCGAATTCAAGTGGCGAATCTCTTGGATTTTTTGCACGCACCTCTGAATTCTCAAAGACCTAAAAATTTCGATTTTCTTGCATATGCGACAAATATAAAGATGTGTTGTCTATATAATCATTATTGATTAATTGCTCATTATACTCAACACCGCACACTTTTTATAGCACGCACGGTACACCGTACTACACCCTTAACAATACAGGGTGTCATTGCAGGCGCTAAGCCAGACATTTCAGGTGGGGGAAAGGGGGTTCAGTTTGATCAAACCCGAAACCGAGTGTCAACAGAGAGCTGAATTTGAAGCCCTAATAGGCATGTCACTGGGCATCCCCCTCACCCCCCCCCCCCCCCCCAACGTGCAAGTTCATATACCGGCAGAGCCGCCCTACCCACTTACACATACATTTCTTGTCCTTTTTATGGAATTTGTTATAGAATAAAAGAGTCGTCCTCGATCACCTTCTTTTGCGAAATAGTTCAGTAGTTTTGAGGCAGGGGTTTTTGTTTATTTGTAAATTAAGTAATCTAACCATGGTGATTAATGAAATAGCGACAGCAAATTGAAACGCATTCGATCTAAAAGACATAAAATATATGAAAGAAATGTTTCTCATTGTATATTCCAAGTTAGTCAATCTAAATATACCCACTGTCATCCACTAACCGCAGGACTGAAAACAACACAGTCTTGTGGCACATGCAATCAGTTCAAAACAAAAAAAGAGGAAAGGAAAAAAAAAAGATTAAAAAACAAACAATCTAAAGCCCGCCACTCACCATGCAGTTAAAAAAGGGTACGGCCATCTTGAGATGGTCTCAAGACCTACTGAACGGGATCTCAAGATGATCTCAAGATGGTCACAAGATGATCTCAAGACCAAAATCTGGACTGTTCAGTTAAAAATCTCAACACACCGTGAGATCGCTTGAATTCAGAACGAGCCTGAAAATTATCTGTCAGATCGGAGATCAGGGTGCTCGACGCTAAAAATAAAAGGGTGCCAAAGACAAAATTGTGAAAATCTGACTTCAGAATCTTCATCAGCGTCAAATTCTAGTAGGATTTGATACGAAACACTGCTATCAAAAGTTTGAAGTATTAATGTTAATAAATCATTCTTTGCGTGAGCCAGCTAGTTGGATTTGTTTTTCAAAGACAGTATGCAAGAGACTGGTAAATTGCTCTGCAGATTTCTGGAATTATTCTGCCCAAAGCTTTTGGTGAAATACACGTACTGAACTTCAGATCTTCATAATATGTTCTGCCAGTCGCCAAATACCTCAAAGTTGCCGTCAGCCTTTCGTGGGGTGTTATTGCCTGTCGCATTTTCGTGTTCTGTTTTTTTTATAAGGGGACCTACTATCTGAAGCAATTGATGATATGTGTCCTCGCTCATACGTAAATAATTTGTGTAATTCTCAGAGTACAAGGTCAATTCCTTTAAAAGGTGCGTGTGGGTTAATCTCTCCAACCGAAGAAGCCAGTGTTTGCACCATAATTTTTTTCACCTTTTTTTCTTTAGAGAAATACTTAAAACCATACAGTTCGCAGCAGCGTCACTTTGGGTGGGAGCCATTTTGATAATTTTTAAAAATTCAGATGCACATGCAAAAAATCTGGGCAATTCGCCATTTAGTTTATGTGTAAGGAGGTAGACAAGTTGTCCATTTTGTTGTGTCCAGGCTATAAAAATAGCTTGACAGGCACCGGGCAAGATCAACATAAAGGGACCTACACATGTACATTCCAACCGGGCGATTTTAATCTGAGTGGGAACCGGCGTTCGAACAGCCGCGCAAAATCGCCATGCGACGGGTCGGCGCGTCACCCACATCACGCGTGGTTTAACCGCAGCGAGTGTACTGACAAAGACGATTTGCCTTCAATTTTTGTCCTGCTCGTGGGGAAGAATTTTGTTTTCTCTTTAATTATTTTTGTAAAAATTCTGCTCGGACCTTGCTTTAAAATGGGTCCCTCGTTTAAAAAAAGTAATCAGATTTTATGTGCAGTTAATCATTTTGAAGATGTTGGCAGTGACAAGATACGCCGGCTAAACCCGTGACGTCACAAAAAGGCTGTCGTCGATGGAACGCGCTGAACTGTATTCAGAAATTTCACACGCTGAAACCGCCTCCTGTTTTGATCTTTTTTCTAGCAGTTTTTCGTCCACATTTGCGGTTCTGCCACCAGGTTTGCCTTTCCATCCCGAACCGGCAGTTTAGAACATATGTGTATGGGGCCTAAGCAATGCACTAAACTCCTTTCCTGTCAGTACCCTGGTGATCCGTTCCGCGCACTCAGAATTATTATTACAATTTTATTATTCGCCGGTGGGGCACCTGAGGTCTATTTTGGTTATTGCAAGGCCTAGAGTGCCCATATTTGCTGTGGGACATCGTGTGTTATTGATGATTTGAAATCAATAGTTCAAAAGTATATTGTGAATCAGTTGCTATGGAAACAGCCGCCATATTGGATGTTGTATACTTTTTTTCAATTCCATTTTATTCCCTTATTTATTAACTGATTCCTTTCTAATTTGGCATGCCAACAGTAAATATGTAGCTCTTAAATTTGGCTTGTTGAATTTTTTATATTCGTTTTATTTTATATTTTATGAGACTTACAATTGGGTTGTTGCAAAAAAAAGTGAAAAAAAAAGGAAAATTCATGCTTTCTATGTCCATAAATCCAAAACTGTTCCTTTAATCAAATATTCAATAAGCCAAAATTTAGAACTAGGTGTTGTTGGTATCCTGTGACAGTTACCTTGAATTGAACAAGATACAGAGCAGAAAAATGGGAGAATGTGTGAAAAAATAGAATTGTGAGAAAACAGCCGATAAACGTAAGAAAAAGCTGGACAACATGTGCATTCGCAGAAAAACCTGGGAAAAAACACAGCTTTGGGGTGGAGCAAGGCTTACATACGTTTCTGGATATTGTTCAGGAAATGTCCAGGTACTATAATATGACGTAATAACCCCAATTTGTATAATTTGACCCCAAAACACGATTTCTATATTCCCCACCAGCCCTTAAATCATCCGCTAAAGTGCGATAAAAAATTCATTGCGCAACCTATAGTCAAATATTTCCCAAACTATCGAATATAGACTCTCCAGCTTTTGCATGATAATTCGTATCAATTTGTCTTAACAGATCAATTTTTTGTGTGCAAATCTCCTGTTAGCTGTATTCTGGAAGATTCCTTAATAAATACTAATTAAAAAATCCAAGTGGGTGGTTTCTACTGTTTTTAAAAGGCTTACAGCTGAGACAATATTGCTTTAATAAAATTGTGACTCTATCTTTATTGAATGTATGCTTTGAGAACCTTTAGTGCAAAACATATGTTCATCTTGTAGCAAGTTTTGCCTCTGAAAAGTGTTAATGATAAGCTGTGATGTGGGCTACGTAGGCCATATACATGTACGTATACAAAATGTGTGTAAGAAGCGGGAAGCGCTGTGAGCTGTGAGCATTCCCATTTTTCGCATGACGGAGATTTATATAGTAGGCACTATTTTATATAAATGTATGCAGAAATGTATAAATGTCTAGTCCCAATTGTCAATTGTTGTGGGAAAACATGATTAAGTTAATACAAATTGATACAAGGTGCTGTGCTAAGTGTGGGTGACATTGATTCCCCCATTAAAGAGATATCAAAAATTGAGGATAAGTTGTGTCACGAATTTTGACGGCACCATAGTTGTGATATCGCCTAGGTTGGCCAGAAGTGGTCTATTTTTACCTACTGCCAGTAGAGTACTGGGAAGGTTCTTCAATAATCCACGATCGATATCCAAGAAAGTTAATTTCATCGAGTATCTTCTTACCGTATCATCCTTAGCCCAGGGTGACCCTGAGAGATTGGACCGAAAAATTGAGACATAATAACGAAATTGGACCCAAAGGTCGTATATCATACTTTAAATCTTGGAGTTTTTACAACTCCATCGACAAAATTTCAATAATTTAGGACGGCAATAAACAGCAAAGCAGAGACAAAAATGAAGAAAAGGGAAAGTAAAAAATTACCAACAAACAAACCACAAAATTATGAACAACCCACAATTACTTCATTCGAAGAATATCGTTAGTTTTAAGAAATATAATAAAATGTTCACAGCATAATTCGTATACTACAATAGGGTGGAAATTGTATTAAGGAAATGCCCAGAGTTTGCCAATAGTGAATTTTGTAATGTAACCCTTCAATTACTCTTGCTTTCAAATACTCGAATATTCTGATCTCGACAGGGACTGGCGCGGATCGAGATTCGGTCAAGGACCAAATGGCGGCTCGATACAGGGAAAGAATGTCTATGGGCTACCTTCTGCCAGGTACGCACAAGCTGTGGTACGTTAGGCGGGAGTGCGGAGCTCGTTCATTGATCTTTATCATTTGATATTTGACTACCATTGGCCTCCCTACAAATTCCCCTAAAACAGCTTTCTTATATTGTCTGATTCCCTATCCTGCATTGTCTCACTCACAAATTACATAGTCATAAACCCAAAATGCAAGGTTGCAAAAAAGAATATTCGCTTTAACAGAAACCGAAAAAAGTATTGTGTTTGCATGGCTGCCTTGCCGTGTGGGCATCCGAGGAAACGAGAAGGGCGATCTCTCGGCGAAGAAATCCTTGTCCCTTCTGTTGGAATAAACGAAGAACACTCTCCCACAAACTGACTTTGAAAATAAAGTCAAAAACTAAAGCTCCAGTCTGTAGGAGACACATTGGGGTAAACAAATAAACAATAAACTCCACAAAGTTATGACCAAAATGGGTCCACGAAAACTTCCTGGTCTCCACGGAAGAGACGAAGTCATTTTGATTCCATTGCGTATGGAAACATTACCCTGACACATAAAAATACCTACTTCAGGGAGATGAGAAACCGCTCTGTGTCAATTTCGGCTCATATTTCAAAATTAGAAACATATCAATAGAATGTCCGGACTTTGGAGAGACCCAAAGTATTTTTTTTTTAAATGTACAATATTACAAGATCTGTTCCCCGTCGTTGATCCCAATAGAATTCTCAAATTTATAAAGTCCACTGCGCTTCACAATAGGTTATAAATACTTTTTTTCAACTGAAATATAAATGACTTTTGCTTATATGACAAGATTTTCACCCAAAAATCTTTAACCACTAAATCTGATCTTTAACTAAAGCCAGGCGTGCTATGACCTGTTGCGAATGCTACTAACTTGTGTTTTGCACTCTCATATGACCTTATGTAGTTGCAAGCACCGTAAAACATTACCTAAACTAGCTACCCCCCCCCCCAACAAAAAAACAACAAAAAACCAACAACAACAACAACCAACAAACAAAAAAACATTTTAAAAACCCAACAAAACAAACAAAAAAGAACAAACAAACAAAACAAATCACCTTTGTAACTTCGTAGTTTGCTTTCTTTTGCGATGATTGTTATGGCACTGTCACATGAGTCAACACTATGCCTCCTCCTCTGTGTTATTCTTTACAGTATCCTCTGACTAGCCCCATTCTTTAAACAGATGTGTCTGTCTTATCACCCTCACCCTAATTCCTTTTCGTCCCCACACCTCCTTCCTACCCCCTTCCCCTCACACACTTTCCTCCTGTCTATCTCCTTTCTCTACCCATCTCTCTCTTTCCCTCCCTTCTACCACAAACCTCCCTCCTACCCCTGCCTCCACCCACACAACTCCCTCCTATCCCTCCTTTCATTCACACTCCCTACTTTTACCCCCTCCGATTCTCTCTCTCTCCCTCTCTCTCTCTCTCTCTCTCTCTCTCTCTCTCTCTCTCTCTCTCTCTCTCTATCTATCTATCTATCTATCTATCTATCTATCTATCTATCTATATATCTCTCTCTCACAAACACACTCACACACACACACACACGCGCGCGCGCGCGCGCACACACACACACACATACACACACACACACACACACACACACACACACACACACATATATATCCCTGTTGCTTCATTCCCTTGTTCAACTTTGTAAACTCCCCCTCTACCCTGCAACAAAAAAGAGACATCAGGGATGACTCAAGTCCCTGCGGTCAGTTCCGGTTTTGAGAGTCCCCATAAAATGATGCTGAACCCTGATGACCCACACTGCTCTGAGCCAGCCACTGTCGATAGAGAGAGTCACATCAGCTCCTCTCCATCTGCCCGCCGTACTCATGCTGTGACCGACCGCTCCCCACGACCCGCTATGAAAGAACTCATAACAAAATTTGAGACGAAGAGCCCGGGAGCTTCCCTTGGCCTGGGTCAGGCATCGACAGGGGGAGAGTCGGCACGCGTGGCCCGCCAGGCGTGGCGCGCAGACCGGGTGTCGGTCAACCTAGAGCTTGACCCGAGTGCACTTACGTCGAGCTCTCTCAGTGAAGATTACAACTCAAAGTCTTTGTCCACTGGCTCCAAACCGCCTTACGCAAAGTCGTCCCAGGCAACCCTCAGTTTGAACACAGAAGCTGCTGCTGCTACTACTGCTACAGTTGCTGCTACCACAATGGCTGCTGTAAATACTGTTGTTTCTTCACCGGCGACTGCAAAGAGCAATGTCACGACACAGTTTGAGCAAACCACAGGTGGGTCTGGTTCAGAAGCATCGGCACACAACTCAACTCCTCTCGGGGAGACAAACGTGCAAGGGGCGACCATGTACTCTCCACAACAGCCGCGACAAGTGCAGAGCACGCCAAAAATCTTGCAGGCAGGTGGCAAGCTAGCGCCAGAAACTGTTCAACTCGAGAATGTCTTAAGGAAAGACCCTAAAGTGGTCACGGGACATCCACCTATCTACCCACCCCAGTCTGACATAGGTCAGAAATCAGACACCCAAACCACAGATCTTGCTGAACAAGGAGCACCCCAGAGAGTGAATCTGAGGGAATTTGCCTTCCGGGGCAACCAGGGTCCAGCAAAAGACTCGAGGTACACCGTCCATAAAAAGGACTGGGGCAAACGATTTGGCTCGAGACAACCTATAACAAACCCAATCGCCCAGCTACTGCCCCGAGCCACCAGCACACCCAAACCAGAGGCGCTCACCCCTGTGTTCTCAAGGATAGAGTGCAGCAAGGTGTCACGTGGCCTGAGGTCCACGGAGCCTCGGCGTGCCCAGAGTGCCATGTCGTCTGCCACCAGCAGGTCGCTGAGTACCGGTTGCAGCCTGTATTCGCTCAAGATCTCTCCAAAGATGGACAGAACCCAGCAGAGATCTACCACGTCCACGCCGTCCAACACTCAGCAAAGGCTTCATAGGCGAAACATGACAAGACTCACCGACGCGACTAAGGGAATCGATTCAGTCAGTCATTCCAAGAGTGAAGAGAGGAAGAAGACGGCCATGGAACGTTATCTTCAGTTCTTGAAGAGATCCACACCGCCCCTGCCTGTCCCACCGAGGGACGCTATCCGTGTAAGCACACAAGCACCTGGACGAGCTCTGTCTAAAGAAGCCCCCTCACGGAACCCCGAGGAAACTGCATCCACAAGGGGTGCGGGAAACGAAGACTTTGGCCACAGAAGACTAAACGAGTCGCTAGAAGAACATTTGGAGACAGCCCAGGTGTACCGGGAAGAAATGTTCCCCATCAATTTGTCCCCAAGGGACAAGCATGGCGGGGGCTCCCCGTCACTTTATCATCCCAAATTAGGATCTCCACTGTACATGAGTAGGGGCAAGGACACAGAGCACGGCGAGACTGCAGGCGTGGCTGCCGACAAGACCCTGGTTAATTCCCCGGCTGAACAGAAAACCAAGTCTCCCCAGCTGTGCCGGCAAGGTAGTCAGTGCTCTCAGATACTGGAGGCTCGTCTCCCACACCGTACTTTTCAAAGCATCTCGGGACATTTGGGGCAAGCATTACAACAGCATCAACATCAACCACAGCAGGAACATCAGCATCATCAGCAGCAACAGGAGAGCGCCCAGAACGCTTTATATCAAAAGGGGAGGAGACGATCGCCTGAACTGTTTCCTCCTCAAGTCTCCAATATCAATTTACCAGCCGCCGGCGCCATCGACTCTCGTCCCGCCACCCGTCGCTCTAGCCCGTCACCCATCGCCAAGGACAAAAGTCAGCGACTCCGGAGAGAGGTGAGCAAACTGTCAAGCTGTCAGGGATCCCCGTACGCTGGTTCCAAAGGCCCCGGGGCTGGAGACTCGTCGCCAATCAAGTCCAAGTCTTCCGAGCACGAGATGAGTCCACTCCACAGAGAAATCTCCGATCTGGCCAATCAACTGCTGACAGAGGACGAGCTGGCGGACAATGACCTAATGCCCTTCCACCTCCGTGACCCTCACCGTCGTGCTGTACAGGGAAAGTCCAGGGGCAAGGTCACCACAGACTCATTCAGTTCGGACGAGGACAGCTGTACCGTCTCCATTGAGGACAGGCTCAGGAAAATCAAGGCTAGGCGCCTGCTGAAATTAATGAAAGACGCCGAGTCGACGAAGCAGCCGGGCGTATCGTACTCTGAGGCCCTAGGCAACGCAGCGCTCAACCAGCGTCACCATGAGCAAGGTACGCAGCGATGCGATCAGCTGAACCTACGGGAGAATGTCAACATCTTGTCTCAACCTCGGGACCAGTCACAGGAGAGTCACAGCTCAAGTAAAATTCGATCTTCTCTCTCCAGACAACGCCGCCCGAAGTCAGAGCCGAGACCCAATGTATACAGCTCCGGCGCTGCATCTTCTCATGTTCACAAAAGAGAGAAAATCCCTCTCCTTTATCTTCAGTCACCATCAGAGCACGATCCTTCAGCTCCTGGCTCTCCGAAGAAAATGGCCTTGGCCGACAAACAACACACGCCGTTAGCCCGGATAGCCACACTGCAGCCTGCTTTTGAGGAAAGGTGGGATGACGATCTCGAGCTGAGGGAACCTGGGGAAAAGTGGGAGGATTCCAGGCGCGGTGTTTCGGGTCATGAGGCCTTTGATCCCTCCCCCACACAGTGGTCTGTGTCGTTAACACAAGGCAAGGTAAGGGCACTCGTTCTACGAACGTTACACTCTCAACCTACCTTCTTAGCTTCCATTGTGGGCATTGTATCTCTATCATCCCAAGTTGGCCTTAACCGACAGTACTGAAGTCCATCTCTTTAAGTGATCAAGATTAAAGAAGAACTCCTATTTGTTCTTCATTAATAACATGTCCTTCCAGAAAATGTGCTCTCAGTCTTCATTATTTTTATCATTCATTGATTGTCCTTTTTTCCCATTTTTTGTTTGCTCATTTGTTCATTAAATTATAAATCAGCTGTTATCCAATTTTGCTACCTTTACCGTTATCTCTTTCAATGATATATTTTCCCAAGGACGCATCATGGACTTTACTGAAGAAAACCAATTCATATAAACATATTACATACTTATTAAGTGCTTTCATAATATATGTAATCACCCCGTGAGCTTCTACATACCTGTGCTATACTGGATGTATAAAAAGATAGTCCAAATTTAAGGTTTTAACAGAGTCAAACTAAAGCCCCGGTTACACGCAATGATGTATCAGATTCGTCGTATGCGAGAACTGTCCGTATAATCGAACTGCATAGTCTGTTTAGACGCTCCAGTCTATCATGAATTTATTCTCTTTTGATCAGGGAGAATGCTCTTCATAAAGCCACCATGTCTCACTCTATGTGCTGCTTCTTAGTAAAATAAAGAAGAAGAGGCTTATTTAGACAAAAGACTGGCCATTACAGCGATTTATTTCCACCCACACGTGGCCTAACGTAACGGTGTTCGACTCTCCTTCAATAGCTCCAGGATTTGAGACTTGACAGCTACGGAAAAGCTTTTTTCTCTGAAATATTCTCTTTTCACCTCTTTTTCTGTTCTCTGGATATGTTCTGTCATCTGCTTTCATCTCCACTTTCTTTCATTCCCTAACCTGTACCCCTACCCACCCACAGCCTTCGTGCTCTTCTCTCCTTTACTCCTGACTCCTTCTACATGTACTGCTCCACCTGGCTATTTCTTAGCACCCACCAGCCACCCGCCTGTGCATTTTAATAAAAATCAGAACAGTGTCTTTAGAAAAAGGTGGCCATACTGTACCGTGCTGTGTGTAGAAGTAGAAACTTTGACTTGATTTCAGAAATGCAACGCGCCGTGTGACCTTGGTACGTTAATTGCTAAAATTTACATAATATCGTATCAAATCGGGCTCCCCGTGTGCTACTTGGATTATTTCTAGATGCTGATACTGAATAGGATATGAGTTTTTATCTGCAATAATTATATTTAATTCTGCGCTGCGGAAACTTTAAAGTTAAAGTGATTCTAAGCCACAGCGCGTCTCCCCCAAATGTGATCGAGATCACACAGAAAATATCGAGCAGCACTTGATTTCTAGATTGAGTCTCCAAGCCATCGTCTAATGGTCCAGATTATGTAAAAGTTGTGTCGTTACACCAAACGATTTGTTGTATGATCGGTATATTGTCCAGTATTTATCATTACCTGTAACTGTTTTCCAACTAAATTATGCTTGGTGTGATAATAAAGAAGGGATTTGGGGTTCTATGTGAGTGTACCAGTTATGAATTTACAATCTCGCACCTTTGAGCATCATACTTTTAAAATCAAGGAGTGCAACTATGCCAGGTTCACTTTCAGCTTAAAAAACATTAATATCAACGAAAGAAAATTGTATGTTTACTTCAATTTTTACTTCTTCTGCCTTCTTATACCATGAAGTGTCGAGGGAAGATCCAGTTGACAGACGTGGGCCAGGTGTGTGATGTTTAGATCGTATGCTGTTTTTTGGAGGATTCCTTGTTGATGTCCTGGTATATAACCACCCGAAATACCCCCCCGGTGGACCAATACAGTTTATCTTATAGTATCTTATCTAATCGGTTTCTTATCTTATCTTATCTTATCTCAGTATGACGTTTTTGACAGGGCCAAAAGAATGCTGGTAAAGTGACAAAGGTAGACAAAGCAAATGGCATCAGTCCAAAAAAAGCAACACTAGAAAGATATTTAAAGCTCACAGTTGGACTCGCATACCGTAAAACAAAAACAGAACCTTGGTGAAAATATAGGCAGAATAGGAATGAAAAGGATACATAGTGATTTGATTTCCTACTAAATTATGCTTGGTTTGATAATAAAGAAGGGATTTGTGTCTAACGGTTAGAAAGTGTGCCGCATGCACATAAATTTAGATCTGAATGGACAAGACGTCAAGCGTTGTATTCAAAGTTACCACAAAACCTGTTGTTTTCACAGTCTATTTTACATAATAATAATACACAGGGTGGTCCAAATGTCGCCAGACAACACTTCTGGGAGTTAATTTTCAAAAGACCTAGGGCTACATTGTATTCGCTCAAGAGGGGATGTGTCTGTGTTTGCGTTTGTGTTTGTGTGTGTCAGCGAGAGAGAAACGAGATTTGCGATGAAGTTGTGTGGGAAGTGGTGGACGGCTTTTCATATCTTCGTTCGTCCACAAAAATGAAGGGGTGAAGTGAAAACAAGGACGTGTTCTCGGTACTCTAGAACTCAGTCGTGTTGTTTTTAGAACCAGTCAGCCCAATGTCTTTTGTTAGCGGACATACCATTTTGAGAACAGTCTCTAACTAACGTACTGAAAGTATTTTGAATGAGGCACGATCAGTGAAACTGTATTATTGAGGAGGACAAAACTCAAAATTGGGTGAAATGAATACGAAATGTAACCATTACAATCGTAGGGGAAAATGGTCTACCTGAAGAAAACACCCATTCTGTTGGGGACGAAGCAACACACTTAACCTATGCTGGCCCTAACAGACCGGGTCGAAACAGTTCGTCTTCTGAATCATCCAATTTTTGTCGAGAGGGACGGAAGACATTTTCAAACGATCATAATTTGCAACATTCAGAGTTCTCCAAGTCGAGGCAACCCGGCGGCGTCCAACATAGAGACTGTCACAGAGACGGAGCTAGCGGGGCACACTGGAGACAACAGCTCCCGGAGACTCAGGGAGCCGGTACAGAGAGAAGTCTCAATAGAAGATCTTCATAACCACTCGGAGGTAATCTTGGTAGTAAAAGGAAACTCCGGCCCTCTATTCTGAACTCACTGCACTTACTGCGCACATCCGGGGTCCTCACTCTGTGTGAGGCCATGTTTGTGTGTTCATGACATCAGGCTCAAAAGATGCGTTTGGTTTATTTTAAGAATGGAGGGCTGGAATTTACTTTTACGTAAGTGCAGCTTCTGTTCTTGTATCTGGTTCGGTTACGGGTGGACAATATTATTAGGATATTATGGCTTGCTGAGGGTGTCATCTCTGCCCCTGGGGTCTCTGAGGTTGACGTTCACTACAGTTGTCAGCTGCTCTGGAGCAATGCTCCAAGTTTCGTGCTGTCCATGGTCGTAACATTACAAGAGTTTTCAGTCCACAGACTTCCCTGCCTTCCTGCTGCCAATGCCCCGCCCGGCTTGCCTTCTAGTATCTTAAGAATAAACGTTTTCTCAAGTCCCAGATCTGGCCTTTGCGGAAAATTATCATTTACAATTTCCTTAGGTGTAAATAGGATATGACTTTGACATATTTTCGTAATCTCATTAAACTTTTTAAAAAGTTCTGCTTGGTAAATTATTGCCAAACTATCCTTTAACGACTACATGTGTTCCACTCTGTTATTTGTCAATGTCTGTTCAATGGCTCATAGTATCGACTAGTCTCACAGTGAAAGGACGCATCACAATTCCAATAGATTTTTAAATTTTCTTTACATCAGTCATACTGCCGTCTGTGGTGTAGCGCAAAAGGGGCAAACTCAAATTACACTAAAGGTTTCGGGCTCACAGAGCAATGGGAAACTAGACATTTTTAAACAATAATATTTAATATGAAATTAAACATTAAAACGTTGAAATAATAACGCATCAAGGCAAAGCAGTTCTCGCTTTTATTTGTTAGAGCTAGATGTTTGTCATCTCCTCTTGGCAAATTTTGGTTCATATTTGGAGCAAGGTTGTGTGTTATGGAGGTCCTTTAGCTTGACTACAAGAAATTATCTCGCAATACATATGTAAAATATTCTCGAGCTGGGTGCAGCCTTCAGGCCTTGAGTTTGACACATGTAGTATATAGGTTAGGCGTTTTAGCGTGGAGAATTGATACTGAGTATCTCGGTCTTTCTGCTGAGAATTTGATAGTATCCCTTTAAACTCAAGTTGGCCCTGACAGGCTGGGTCCAAGCCCACCTCTTTAACAATCTAAATTGTGTTGATGGAGGCATAAAAAACACATTTTTCTTTTAGGTGGGATATCACTTTGGCATGACTAAGCCGGAGGAGGAGGAGAAAAACGAAGTTCAACGAGCCGCGAAGGACTCCGTGGTGAGGAAGAAAAGAAAAGCCGAAAAGATTAAAAGAGTGAAGAAAAGGAAAAAGAAAATGAAAGTGGAGGAAGCAGACTTGTCTCAGACTTATAGAGTAAGTTTGGAGTTCTCTTCTGTAGTAGTAACAGTTTGTTCACAATGACTGCGTCCACAGGGAGAGCGACGCAACTGCACGTTTCATTATTTTGAGATAAATGCAAAGCACTTTCTTTCACAGATCCTGTATCGTTATGAATTCTTCTAAACATGATTGAAAACTACTATGCCGGCTGTACATGCATCAACCAGACTTTGGCACAAGAAGGATAGAAGATTAGATTAGTTTTACCAACCATCATCATCATCCGGTGCCTTGCCGACTGCCGTGGGCGATCATGGACCTCCATTTCACCCTGTCCCGGGTTGCAGCAATGATGTTTGTTGTTCTTGCTTCTCCTAGCCATGTTGTTATCTTGTCCAGAATCTTTTTCCTCTGTCTGCCTCTGCCTCTCTTTCCATCAAACTTGCCTGTTGTTACAATATTCTTCAATGCTTCTTTCCGTTTTGTGTGTCCGAAGAAATTTGCCTGTCGCTTTCTTATATTCGTCACAAGCTGTCTTCTACAATTTGCTTCAACTTCAACCCAGACTTCTTCATTTGTTTTTCTAGATGTCCGTGGGATACGTAGCATGCGTCTTATGAACCACAACTCTGTCGACAAAATTGTTCTTTCCAGCTGTTTATTGATTGTCCATGCTTCGCACCCGTATAATAGGATTGGCTCGATGTAACTTTTCAGTACTCTTTTTTCTCGTACTGATAAGATAAACCAATAAAGCTCCCCCCCCCCCCTTCTTTAAAAAAAAACCTCTCGGTTTTGTCAGTTGCGTCAGTCTGCCTAGAGACGGTAGTAAAATAGGTCAACAATCATAAAAAACGTGAATATTATCTTCAAAAATCGTAAGAATAAAAGCTTGAGTCTGAGAGGATGGAAGAAGAGATGGAGAAGGATGAGAAAACTAAGAAGAAAAATATAATTGAACCATGATAATGACGTCATTCACGACGACAGCACTTGTGAAGATAATTAAGTGTTTTTGATTTGAAAAGGATCTAGATTTCAATCATCTACACGTTTGTTTTATTTCTTTGAACACATAATGGACGACGACGAAAACGACAACAACGACGACGATGACAACGCTGATGCCATCGGGTAAAATATCGGCATAACCATGTCCACTCACGTTGTTGAAAGCGATGCCAGCCTTTTCGAAGTCCTCTTTCACCGTGTTAAATTTAGCCTGGTTACGTCCATGTAGGGACACTTTGCAGGGTTGTACATAGTGGCCAGCTCTCTGACTGCTTTGACATCACAACCGGTGTGAGACAGGTGTGTTTACTGTCACTATTCCTCTTTATCATGGCGAGCAATTGGCGGACTAAGGAAACCACAAGAGGACCGGGAAATGGCATACAGTGGACCCCATAGACGTAGCTGGACGATCTGGACTTTCCCGATGACATGGTGCATTTGTTGGCCACCACATTTTGTCGTTTGCCCTCTACAATGACGATAATGATGATGATGATGATCATCATTATATATAGTGATTATGATAATGACTTTAATATTGTTATATTGTTACGTTTTCTTCTTCTTCTACTACTACTACTACTACTACGACTACTACTACTACTACTACTACTACCACTACCACTACCACTACTACTACTACTACTACTACTACTACTACTACTACTACTACTACTACTACTATTATTGTTATATTGTTACTTCTTCTTCTTCTTCTTTTACTACTACTACTACTACTACGACTACTACTACTACTACTATTACTACTACTACTACTACTACTACTACTACTACTACTACTACTTACCTTTACAATAATTATAACAATTCTATTTATATAATAGGTACGTAGAATCTATACCTACAACTAACCGTACTTTCCCCTTCCTTTGGCCTTTCCAATTTTTCTTGCACCCACCATTGAGCATTATAGTGTAGTAATCATTTTTTTAAATGTTCCTGACGAAGCCCTCTGCGGGGACACGTTGAACATATTGTACACTTTGAAAGTCTACTCAGTCTTCACCTACGTTTTGCCTTTTTTTTTTTTTACTTTCGAGCGATGATGATGGTGATGGTGATGATGATGATTGTGATGGTGATGATGACAAACTTGATGTCCGTGTTCTTAAAATTTTTATCAACTGTGCACACTCTCTTCTAGACGGAGTCTCGAAATGTGACAGAAGGAAGAAGGCCGCCGCACGACGGGAGCCGAACGAGACGTCATGGTCGCCAGCAGCAACACTCGGAACACAGACAAGAGCTGTGCCTTCCCCACCAAGAGGTGATTGAAATACGCTGAATGGTGATGATGATTATGATAATAATAATAATGATAATAATAATAATATAATAACATAATAATAATAATAACAACAATAATAATATAATGATAATAATAATAATAACAACAATAATAACCAGAAATATTACAAACTTAGATTTTGTTTAACCCCACGAAACAGAGGTCAAAGTGAGAGGAAACGGAGAAAGACGACTATCAATCAGAATTTACGTTCTTATAGTAAACATTTGGATGAAGACGTTGAGCATTCTAGGCCAAGAAAGAATGGGCCAACGTTGGCCTTACCGTGCAACGCACAGTCCTTTAACGAAACTGAAGTTGGTCGGAGATTACGCACACATGACATTGGTGAATTCAGTGTCGTTTGTGAACATTGCAATGTCATAAGACGGAAAGAAGAGAGAAACAAATTCTGCTGTCAAAATGGCTAAGTTAGTTTTCCTGTACCTCCCCCGTATCCCTTCAGGAATTAATAAGGTATTACGATGTAACACAGAGCGGCATCTCTTTCTTACCACATTGTAGGCAACATAATATTTCCTTTCCACAAGCGACGGAAACAATTTCTGTTTTTTTTACAAGAACAATTGTCAGTCACAATGGCTCCTGTTTGGTCAAAGGACTCTATTAGAATACATGCAAACAGACTTGCTGCTCAGGACGGAGTTCTAGATGGGGCAACGTTATCTACACAGAGGTCCTGCGGCAAAGAATTCGTTTATCTTGGGATTTCCTATCACTAAAACTATATCACCGTTCGTAGAGTGGGTCTGTATCTTGCAATAATAATGATCATTACTTTTTACATTTTCTGGCTTCTGTTATCTGTGAGGGAAATAGCAAACGTCTTTCTCCTGTTTATTGTACAGCCTGTTACACGGTAAAGTTGTTCTTGATTAACGTTTCTTTGACCCTATTTATCCATCTTTTCCTTGGTCTGACCCTTCCTGCTTCGGTCTGATTTCTAACTGTAAGCTCGTGCTTCTATATTGTCTGGTGGTAGTCTTGTAAGGTGTCCAAAACATATAATTCGTTGTTTGTGTATGCACTGTAAGCAGGGGGTCGAGCCAATATGTTCTCTGATAGTCTATTTTCACAACTTTTCTCTTATTGTGATGTTTAGAGTTTTTTCTAAGTCATCTCATTTCACAGACGTTGATTTCGTTTTGGTAGCTCCTGATTGTTGTCAATGTTTGGGTAAGGTAGCACATTCTTAATGTGAAATGGCTATCAATACGTTGGCGTTTAGTTTCCATTTTTATGTTGAGGTGTGTAACTAATGGGGCAGTTGGTAAGTCGCAGTATTGTCCTTTTTTACTCAGGTTTTTATTTCTCTGTCCATTTTTTAAATCTTGGGTGAACTCATTTCCCAGGTATTTGAACTCTTCTACTCACATGGTTTTGCTGTTGTTAATTCTGATGTTTAGTGGGCCTATGTTTTGCGGAATCTTCATAACCTCAGTTTTGCGTATACTGATCTTATCTGCAGCTCTTATTCGGATTATTTACTGGTTCCTGGAGTGTCTTCTCATTGTCACTCAGTATGCTCTGGTGGTTGATAAAAAGAAGCTTGTTGATTGTGTTGTCTTCTGGTTTACGTTCTGCTGTTATTTTGTCCAAGTATATTATGAATGGCAAAGGTGATTGTACAGATTCTTGTTTTACTCCTGATCTCACATGGAACCTTTGCGTTTTTCCATGTGGCATTCTTATGATTTTTTTTGCTGTTTCGATATTAGTGCCATGATGTTGTCCAGAGGTTGTCCCTTGATTCCGTAATCTTCCAGCACAGTCCATTGGTCTACTCTGTCAAAAGGTATTTTTTGGTGCACGGTGACAGTCTTTTCACTGAGTTGTCTAAGTGCACGTTCTGCGTCTGTGCAACTTTTCCCTTTCCTGAATCCAAATTGTGCTCTGCTGATTTCTATTCAAGCCGTGTTCTTTGCCTTTGTTGTAACATTTGTAAATATCTTCCCAATGTGACTAAATACGGACATTACTCTGTAAGCGTTGCAATCTTTCTTGTATGATAATAATGATAATAAAAATAATACTAATACTAATAATAATGATAATGAAATAATAGTAATAATAATAATAATGATAATGATAATAATAACGATAATGGTAATGATAATACTAATAATGATAATGAAAATTATAGTAATAATAATAGTAATAATGATATTAATAATAATAATAATAATAATAACAATAATAGTAATAATAATAGTAATAGTAATAGTAATGATGATGATGATGATGATGATGATGATGATGATGATGATGATGATGATGGTGATGATGATGATGATGCCCCTGAGGAAGCCCACGAGGCTAAACGTTGATCTATTAAACAAATTTTTTTGCATTTTATTTTATTATGTTATTTTGTCTGAAATTCAAAGAAGACTCTCCCCCCTACTCTGCTTTCCAAACAATGATGATGATGATGATGATGATGATGATGTTGATGATGATGATGATAATAATAATAATAATAATAATAATAATAATAATAATAATAATAATAATAATGGTGATGATGATGATAAAAATAATAATAATATGATAATAATAATAAATATAATAATAATAATAAGTATTATTATTATTATTATTATTATTATTATTGTAATTGCCATAATTAGAATTAGAATCAGAATCAGGATCAGAATTAGATTCAAAATAAAAAAAGATTTAATTTAAATTTAAAAGCAATAACATATGTGAGGCATTGTGGTGAAATCAGGCGCTCGTCAAAATTAAAAAAGAAAAAAAGAAATAGGCATTTTTTCCACCAGTTTAGCCATTTTAATCGAATTTTTGTTTTTTGTTCAACAACTTTTATGTCCATATAAAAACATATTTCCCTGTGAATTTTACTGAAAGACGTTGATTAAAAGTACAAAATATATAATTTTTCAGTTTTCTGGGACTCTCAAGCTATTGAATTTAACAAACTTTGGCTGCCATTTCCTCGCAAATTTTACCATTCAAACCAGTCGACCGCACCTCGTTCAATCGCAACTATCTCGACTTTTATTCAAGATAGATGGGTATTTGTTTCATTGAAAGCAGGTCAAATGCATAAGCTTTCAGAAGACACTAAAAACAACATATGCTCCAAAATCGACGAGCGCCTGATTCCACCGTGTCGTGACACATATTGCCCTGGCTGCCTGGGTTAACCCGGGCTGGGAGCGGAACAGTAACCCTGCAGAAAGACCAAGATACTCCACTGGCTTTACAGCTACCTGTGTGCCTTCAGCTAAATAAAAATGGAGTCTTGAGTTAAAAACATTGTATATTGCTTTCGACTACCCTACAACCACTACTAATAGACGACAGTCTTGCTGTACTGTAACTACGTCTTTATGTGACATTGTGAATAATACTTGCTTAACGCTCCTATTAACACGTCTAGGTTATCAAAGAGGCAGGACCTCTGCAGAGGCTGGGGTTTACCGTCCATCTTTGAAAGGACACAGCCAAATTGGAAATTCGAGTAAAGTGCCTTTCGTTGTAGCGCCCTATTTTTGGGCTACGGCTATCGTGTGTTGCTCAAGGACACACTCTAGTGAGCACTCAACTAAACACTGTGTCACAGACACACACAAGAAATTATGTAAGTCAGTTTTGAACCTGTACTGAAAAGTGGACATTCACATTTTTTTCTAAATGGAATTGAAAAGCTATGTATCAGTTCTTGGGTTTTTTAAAAATAACGAAACATAACGATCAAATTTCGATCAATGCCTTTCACCCCTGGCAGGGTATAGGCCACATACAAGCTCCCTCCATTTATCTCTGTCCTGGGCCGTCCTTTCAAGCACGTTCCAAATGAGTTTCATCTCTCACCAGTCCCTCTCTTCAATATTTCCCGTGTCCTACATCTGCCTCGTACTCTCTGTGAGTTCCACCTCAGCAACTGTCTTTTGATGTTTCCGCTGGGCTTTCTGGGGTGTGTCCCATCCATTGCCATTTTCTTAGTCCTATTTCTACTTCTATATCCTTTTTGTCTTGCCTTTTCCCACAGCTCTTCATGTCATATTCTATCCTGCCACTGAATTCTTAGGATACTCTTATTAATCTGTTGATGAAAGTCTGGACTTTATTCAGTACTGTCTTTGTTGTTTTCCAAGTTTCGCAGGCGTAGAGGAGCACAGACCTGACACTGGAGTTGAATCTTGGAGCGCAGTTTGAGGTTGCTTGCTTTCCAGACTTTTGATAATTGCTTGAATGCTGACCTTGCCTTGGCGGTACTCTGCCTCAGTTCCACCTTTCCCATCGATGACACTTCCGAGGTAGCCAAAAGAGCCCACTTCTTACAGGGGGGTGTCTTTCACTTTCACAGCAGGGCTTGAAACTTTCGAATTGCACGGATGTGTACGTTTGCCAACACTTCTTGATAGGCTGTTGAGCTCCTTGGTCTGTTCTTGCATCTGAGCTTGTGTGTGAGAGAGCAATGCAATATCATTGGCGAAGTCCAAGTCATCCAGCTGCCGCCAAGAGGTCCACTGTATTCTATTGCGCGTGCCTCCGGTGGCTTCTTTCATGACCCAGTCGATTGCCAGTATGAAGCAAAAAGGTGAGAGCAAGCATCCTTATCGCACTCCTGTCTGTACCGGGAATGGTTCTGAGAGTTGTTCTTCAAGGAAGACTAGGCAGTTTGTTCCATCATTGGTGTTCTTCACAAGCTTAACGATTTTGTCTAACATTCCATAATGTCGCATGCGTTCCATAGAGTTTTCCTGTCCACACTGTCAAATGCCTTTTCATAATCAATAAAGTTGACTACAAGTGGTGAATTGCTTCAAGCGATTGTTTAAAAATGATGCGCAGAGTAGCAATCTGGTCCACACATGATCGGTTCTTGTGGAATCCTGCCTGGTTTCCTCGGAGCTTCTCATATGTTGCCAGCTTAATTCTCTCACATGGAGTATCTTGTTAAAGACTTTCTCAGGTATGGACAGGAGTGTTATGCTTTCGTAGTTGTTACAATTGCTGAGGTCTCCCTTTTTTTTGGCAGCTTGATTAGGTGGCCTTCCTTCCAGTTTGCTGGTATGTCATCCTCTTGTCAAACCTTTTCAAATAGAACATAGAGAATTTTCACTGATGTGTCTTTATCTGCCTTTGGGGCTTCCTGTGGTATATAGTCGAGGCCAGCTGCCTTGTGGAACTTCAGTAGTGTTATAGCTGCAGCAATTTCCTCTCTCGAAGGTGGTTCCGTAACTATTGGGAGGTCATTTCTGGCTGGAAGAATATCTGATTGTCTTTTCTGGAGGCGGTCTGTTCAAGAGTTGATTAAAGTGTTTTCTCCATCGGTTAAGTTGCCCCCTTCCCCTGGGGGTCAAAGATAGTCTTTCCCTCTTTGTTTTTCACTGGTAGAGTGGTCTTGCTCAACCTACCTGAAAGAGATTTTGTTGTCTGGTGTACAATCCCCAAGTGTCCGTCTCTTGCTGCTTTCTCTGCCTTTTTAGCCGGGCCATTCAGGTAGGTATTCTTGTACTTCTTGATGGACTTCTTTACCTACCAGTTTACGTCGGTGTTCTCTTGTTGTGCAGCGAGTATTTCAGTTCGGGTACGACTGTTGCTGACATGGGCCTTCAGTTCTCTTCTTCTTTTGACTTTGTCTAGAGAGTCCAGGGAAATCCATTCATTCCGAGTGTTGACTTTGGGTCTTTCGGTGCTCTGGCAAGTTGCATTTACTGCTTATTTTTATCTTGTCCCAGTGTTGGTTTACTCCACATTCATACAGATCTTGATGGGCTTGAATTCTTTTCTTCAGTTCTAACTTGAATTCATTCTTCTTTACTGAGTCTTTCATACTTTTGACGACATCCAGTTGTGGTTTGTGCATACCTCCTCAGTTTCAGTTTCATCTTTCCAAGGATCAAATGATGGTCTGGTGCGACGTCTGCTCCTCGTAAGACTCGGACGTCCTCCTGTGAGCGTCTAAACTATTGTTAGAGGACTGTACAGTACACTAGCGCTACCTACTTGGGGACTGTGCAGTCCCCTAGCGCTGCTTAGATCTACTCGTGGACAGCAGTGCCCTAACGTTCCGCCCTGGGGGACTAGGAAGACAGTTTGAGACGTTTGTCGTAATAAATTTTGAACGTGCATCATCTTAGCACATTACATCCTAAGTCCAGCTTTATTGACTTTCTTCTCACTGTTTCTAATGTTCTTGACAAAACGCTCTGAACAGGAAAATAAGCTGATTCCTATCGAGATGTCGATGCGTTTAGATTTTAGTATATAAAAATGCTATTTCTCAATCTTTTTCAAACCGGCTTTCAAAGATTTGAAGAATACAATTTAATTTGAAGAATCCGAGTTTCTACTTTAAGTAGTACCCTAGAATACATTTACTGATACTGATACACATGATGTACTTAGGTCAAAATTCTCAATTTTCAAATCTTCAGTGTTCTATTTAAAACACATAACTCTGGGTAGACTAATATTACTGACCGTTTAAAAGAGCTAACCGTCTCATGTTATAATTCTCTGATCGGCAGCAACAACAATTATAATACTAAGACCACCCACATAGGCCAAGCACTTCCTTGCCAACCCCAACAGCTACCTTTACTAATTTTCGGATATTTTTACCTCAAATCCAAGCCATTTTTTTCATATATCCAGAACAAAATCAAGATTTTAAGAACTGTAGGCCGGTCTCTAACCTATCATTTTGGTCTAAAATCTTAGAAAAAGTTGTTCGAACTCAATTAAGAGCACATCTTGAAGAAAATAATCTTTTAGAATGTTATCAGTCGGCCAACAGAGCGTTTCATAACACAGAGACTGCACTTTTAAAAGTCCAGAATAACTCCTTTGTGAAGCAGACGAAGGCAAAGTGTCTGTTCTAGCCTTACTCGATCTAAGCGCTGCATTTGATAGCATCGATCATTCAGTTCTGATCAGGAGGTTAGGCCATAGCTTCGGCCTATCTGGGACTGTTCTTAATTGGTTCGAGTCCTATTTGTTTAATCGTACAGAGTCTGTACTTGTAAATGATGGAATGTCATCCATTCTCAGCTTCCAATTTGGCGTGTCCCAAGGATCCATGCTCGGACCACTCTTATACACACTATATTATCTTCTGGTTCAATAATCATTAAGCACGACGTTGACTACCACATGTACGCGGACGACACTCAGCTGTACAATTCTGTTTTACCAACAAATTTCAATTCAAGAGAGGGAAAGGGAGAGGGAGAGAGAGAGAGAGAGAGAGAGAGAGAGAGAGAGAGAGAGAGAGAGAGAGAGAGAGAGAGAGAGAGACAGAGACAGAGAGACAGAGACAGAGACAGAGACAGAGACAGAGACAGAGACAGAGACAAAGTGAAAAAGAGAGAGAGAGAGTAAACGAGAGAGAGAGAGAGGGGGGGGGAGAGACTAAGAGGATTACTATCTCTGTGCGCTGCATGCGTTCTTCTTTGTATTATTGTACAACGCATTGAGACCATTTTTTAAAAAAATGTGCTATATATAAATGTAATTTACTATTATTATTATTATAAATATTGTTATTATTATTAATATTATCATTATTATTATTAGGATTATATTTTTTAAAGTTTTGATTGAAAAGGTTTCGAGCTTTGAAAGGAGCTACTATTGCTACTACAACAACAACTACATTTACAACAACAACAACAACAACAACAACAACTACTACTACTACTACTACTACCACTACTACTACTACTACTACTACTACTACTACTACTACTACTACTACTACTACAACTACTACTACTACTACTACTACTACTACTATCCAAACTGAAATCGTAGCATAGAACCAGATAGACATACTACTATGGGAGGTAAACTTTGATGATGGCTTGTTGACCTCGAAAAAAAGATCAAAGGTTGTTTCTTTTCAGTCCCCCAGTTCGGAACGCTTCAGGGCTGCACAGTCTCCTCCTAACAACTTCCTTTGGGAAATGCAAAAATGGTCAATCTGGTTTTCCGTTATTCCATTCGGGTAGACCCAAGCGGCCTTATGAAGCTTTTTATGTGAGAAGATTGTTCCTCCAATAACCAAGTTGTTGAATGGACAGAAGTTCTGGAATCTTTCTCCGTTGTCATTTGCCTCTCCTAACCCATATCTGCCCATGATTTCCCAACAGTGACAATTGTCCGAACCTACCTTTGCATTTAGGTCCCCCTCTTTCATCCGTTTCTGTCCAGACTGGTTCAAGTGGGTCTCAATGATTCCCAGCCTGTGTAGGGGGTATCCGTGCATCTCCTGGAGGACCTGTGCAGTTTTTCCAGACTCATAAAGAGTCCTAAGATTCCACGATCCAGTCTGGGCTGACTTGGAATTGGATGATCGTGGAAGCTTCTGTCTAGCAGCTTCTTTTCGGCTTTTACTGCCTCCCATCATAAACTCTCTATTCGGAGTAGTTCCACGACCATCTGAAGTAGAGATTCTGATTTTTGCATGCATGTGTTTCTGTAACAGGTTTTTTTTACGAGAGAGGTTGTTAGCCTTGTGGCTCAATCCCTGACCTGGAGGATGACTCTGTTTCGGGAGTTACTACCTGGGTCGCCTCTTACAACACGCAGCCCCACGTCAGTCCCATTCTTCTCAATGCCAGGACTGCCCAGCCAGATCAAATGTAAAAATTTTATAAATTCCCAGGCTCAGATTAAGAAAAATCAGCATACGGAAACTTATATAATAGATAGATAGAAAGATAGATAGATAGATAGATAGATAGATAGATAGATAGATAGATAGATAGATAGAGGCAGAGATAAGCAAGACTTCGAACCAGCCAGACCAACTTTTTTTTCCTCCTGAAAACCCGAATCACATTAAAAAATAATACTAATGGAGCTTACTTCAAATCTTGTCAACATAAAGCACGAAACCGAGCGAATGGTATTTAAAGATTTTAGAAATTCTAATAAGACTGATAAAAGTGCAATCTGCACTATATCTGCAGTCGTATAGCTAAAAACTACAGTAATCAACGTTTTGTTGTTATTTTGTGTCTTTTTGGCCAATCATATAACGCAAAATTCGGGTTTATGATTCCGTTGCCCAGAATGACAAGCTTAAAGTACACAAGGCAGCCCTCAGAGCGCCACGGACCAAATGCATGCAATGCAGTTCAGTCGGTAATTTCTTGCATACTAATGGAGCTTACTTCAAATCTTGTCAACATAAAGCACGAAACCGAGCGAATGGTATTTAAAGATTTTATAAATTCTAATAAGACTGATAAAAGTGCAATCTGCACTATATCTGCAGTCGTATAGCTAAAAACTACAGTAATCAACGTTTTGTTGTTATTTTGTGTCTTTTTGGCCAATCATATAACGCAAAATTCGGGTTTATGATTCCGTTGCCCAGAATGACAAGCTTAAAGTACACAAGGCAGCCCTCAGAGCGCCACGGACCAAATGCATGCAATGCAGTTCAGTCGGTAATTTCTTGCATACAAATCAATTTCACAAGATGTATAAAGTCTCAGTTTGTGTGTGTGTGTGTCTGTGTACCTCCCAGCTGGACGAGGCAGGGGCGTTTCACCTACCAGGTCGGCATCGACCTCAGTCAGAGGAGAGGACAAGCTTCAGGGGGAACCACGAGAACAACAAAACTATTGTCAAAGTGAGTTATTATACTGTGGACATTTACCACCATCTGTGGTGTAGCGGTAATGTGCTTCGCTGACGCAAGCAGGAGACTTCAGTTCCATTATCGAGTGGAAGAGCTTTTATTGAGTATCTCCGTCTTTCTGTTGGGTTGCTGTAGTCCTCTCAGCCCGGGTTGGCCTTGCGGGAATTGTCGAAGCCCGCCTGCTAAATATCTCAAATAGGTCGATGGGAAAGTTAAAACAGCTACAGTTAAAACAGAAAACTGATCTTTACAAATATGTTGGAACCTGTCCAAGACGACCATATTTTTATAGTTAGATAGGTGGTCGTCTAGGATAGTAGATCCCATTGGACAATTGTATTTTGCTACAGGAAAAAGGCTTGGGGTTGGGGGGGGGGGGGGGGGGGAGTGAAAAGTGGTCGTTTGTACAGGTGATTGTTTTGACTGGTGGTTGTTAGAGCAGTTTCAACTGCATACAATGTAATAATAACAGCAGATGATTTACGCCATCACAACGCGAAAAAGAAGCTGGTATTCCACGGGACACAGCTGGCAACCGTAGCACTATTGGGTTTAAAGGGAAGATTTTCAAAATAGTTTTGACTGCTGGGAGGAAAACTCACAAAAGTCGGGAAATATCGATCGCATCTACCGCCCCGCACATCGGGCCAGTGAACCAATCAATAACAGTCTGGGAGATTATGTTTTAGATTGGAACAAATGTATTATTCTTTGGAACAGAATGGCAATGTAGTAAACAAAAGTGTCGACGTAGCCTAACCGTTAGAGTGACACCATGAATGATCATAGTCCTGTGATTACTGCTCGAACAGCCACCTGTAAAAAAAATGTTACCTGTACAAATGACCATTTCCAACCTCCCCACTAACGTTATAAAAACATCGTTATAATGACATTGTGCAAGGCGTCCATCTGTCTAAAAAACCCACATTTTTTACTCTCTAGAATGGGCAGCTATCTTGAACAATTTCTACTGCACAATTATTTCTTGAAATGTGAAAAAGGTGAAAATAGATTTGGAACTCCCCCCCCCCCCCCCTCAATACACACACATACACCTTCCCCTTATTACTCCAAAAAGAAAAAACCCGATATTTTCCTTAGAATAAGTCAACATCTTTCGCGCATAACGCACAAGCGAGCTAAAAAAAGGCCCCAAAGAGAGCGAAGAGCCTAAGTGTGTATTCTAGATTAAATGGGGTTCGAGTGTGGAAAGGTAAAGTTTACTTTTACTTTTACAGATAAGAATACAATTACGTCTGAAAATATTGAGTGAAACATTGTGCATGTTTTCACTGCTAACCCTATGCCCCCATGCCAGATGCCCAATGCTAGGTCACATTCTCTTGAGATTGCCACTGCGGACAAGTCCAAGCATTCACGGGTGAGTTCATGTAAGATAAGATAAGATGAGGTAAGATAGGATATGATAAGATAAGATAGATAAGATAATGTATTTATTTCCTCATCAGTCTTTAGGCGACGTGTGGTTGTTATTATTGTGCTTGCTCATAAAACATAAAGTGCATCAGCCTCCTTCTTCTCCTCCACCTCCTCGTCTTCCTCCTCCTCCTCCTCCTCCTCCTTCTCCTCCTCCTCCTCCTCTTCATCATCATCATCATCATCATCATCATCATCATCATCATCATCATCATCATCAACATCAACATCATCAATGTCATCATCGCCATTGCTAGCACCACCACCTTTGTTGCTGTTAACAGTAGCATTTCTATTAGTGTTTAATTCATTATTATCAGTTAGTTTTTGTACCTGCTATTCATTTAATCTTTAATCGAAATGCACGAATCTTTTCTTTTATCATTTGAATGGTTGGCGGGTACTCTGCTGCGAGTTCTCCTTTTTTCTGTCAAACATAAATCTGCTGTCCTTATCGTTCCTCCTTCATTTCTTTGCATGTTACTCTATAGAAAAAACAACAAAGGTTTTGACCTTTAATCTTCGGCACTTACGTGAACGATTTATGTGACAATTGACGTAAAACTCTTAATACAGTATGTCCTGTGTACAATGATTGCCTCTTGGCATTTTGAATTGGGAATCGTAGAGGGAACTAACGGTTGTAGTAAAGAGACAATCCGCGTACGAAATAATTATGAGCTCAACTAAACGTTTAAAAATATCTGTTCCAGCAGGACACCCCTCAGGACATAACGCCGACAAAGGTAAAGAGTGAGAATGATAAGAATATTGTAAATGCTGCTATACGTAGAATATTGTGAGAATTCTTTTGAAGTCTGTTCATGCATGACGATCACGTTTTTTTTTGCTTCATGTTCCTCTTCTCCCACTGTCCTCTTCTCTCTCTCTCTCTCTCTCTCTCTCTCTCTCTCTCTCTCTCTCTCTCTCTCTCTCTCTCTCTCTCTCCCTCTCTCTTCCCCCCTCTCTCCCTCTCTCTTCCCCTCTCTCTCTCTCTCTCTCTCTCTCTCTCTCTCTCTCTCTCTCTGCCTCTCTCTTTTGGCCTCTCTATCAACCCCTAGCTCTGTAGGTCTCCCACCTCCCCTCCACTCTTCCTCGATTGATGTTTTCTCACTCTTTTTATCTCCTGCTGTTATCTTCTATGAGCCTCTGTCCATTTTTCTTGTGGTATTCTGTTTATCCGTCTTTTATGTCTTAGGCGTGTTTTCTTATCTACGTTTTCTTTCGATATCTCTTTCTCGCCCCCCCCCCCCTGCCCCCCTCAAATTCTCGCTCACTTTCTTTCTCCCCCCCCCTCCCCCCCCCCCCCAAATCCTTTTCATCTTTTCTTTTTCTCTCTCACCCTTTACCGTCTCTGAAGGTCCTTGGTACTCTATCAATCTTTGGTGCGTTCAGAAATGCCTTTGTTCATCCTTCCTTCACCATTGTTTTTGTATTTCTACTTTAGTCTCAGAGACCCGGCAGTGACTATTTTTCGTCCCATGAGACGCCGGGGAGACTGTCCCGCCATCCTGATGACAACGTAAGGCTGTGGCTCTCTGTACAACTCTAGCAACTTTGGCACCGCGCGCAAATGTACTGCGACGTACGCATTCTGACAGACAGACACACAAGCATACAGGCATACTGAGAAACAGACATACTTACATTCTTTCACTCTGAGAAACAGACATACTTTCATTCTTTCACACATACCTACAGTCAAACTCAAATACTTACATACCCATCTTCCCTCTTAACTACCTACCTAACTACCTACCTAGCTATCTAACTACCTAGCTACGTATCTACTTACCTACCTACCTATAGTTTGTTCATTTCCGTTTGCCTGCGTAAAACAAAAGTCCGAACTTTTTTGGTCAGTGCGCATGAAACTCTGCATGGCACTCCTGTAGGCCAGAGACCATACAAAAAATAATGTTTTAAACAATCAGGAAACAGTAATGTAAAAAATGTTCTTACTTGAGCCCTATTTTCAAACACTGCTCTTTGGGTGCGTGCACAGGATCGCGACAATAAATGATTTACAGTAATCTAACCTACTAATTGTTCATTTTGAGACTTACAGGTAGTCATCCAACTTTTAGGCCGCATGCTGGGAAGATAATACAGAGCTGTTTGCGTTTATCTTGTCTTAACCACTGGCAGACGAGAGTGAACAAGCTATATTATATTCACACAAGCATTGACGTTTTCAAGTACAAAGGTCTTGACCGAAGAACACACTGGGTGAGAACCCGGTCCGCCAAAGAACCTGCGTTTATCGTGTAGTTTAAAAAAAATTACTTTTATTTGTCCCAGAAGGGCATTTTGGTTTACAATGGCAAACATACATAATATACATACATTCATAATAATAAATACGTACTTACACAAATTCATGCACAAATACATACAAAACTACGCAGTATTACTCAAATATAAAAAAGTTTATAACCATGCCATTGTCGGTCGCCACTGTGCAGCGCTCTGTATTTTAAGCTAGGCTTGTCATGTCTATCTTAAGTAAGGACGCACTCCAGTGACCACCCATCTGATCCGCGTGTCATCGACACTAAGCTTGACATTACTTGAGTCTAAACTCACTATTTACTTTGTCACTGGAGCCACCTAAGTAACAGACTTTCTTTTCCATATCTATTTTTCATGTCTCAAAATATGTTCTAAAATAGAAAACTGCCAAGGGCAATAAAAGTATTTAAAGAACAGAGGAGTTGCAATTTACTTTTATTGAGAAGGGTGGATAGAGAAGCCCAAAATGGGAGCATAAAAAAATGTTGTTTTTTTTAGTTATGAAAAGTCCTTTATAATATTATGTATCATTTTCCCCAGTTATAATTTGCCTAAATTATTATTGTTGAAAAGAGAAAACTGGCGCCTTTGGTGCAGCGGTTAGACCCTTTGGCTGTCGAACGGAGCAGACCTTAGTTCGATTCTCGTGTGGGGAGAATTTTTTATCGAGATCACCATCTTTCTGAAGGGAAGTTGTTACCCTTTCTTCATCCCGGGCCTTGACTGGCACTCGCCTACTAAATGACCTATATAGCGTCCATGGGGGTGTAAAACCTCTGCAGCTCCATTTTTCACAAAGTTGTGTCAACATGGAACCTGTTTCTCTGGTATATTTGTGAGTCTGCTCACCGTTGTCTGCAGTTGCGCGGGGGGGGGGGGGGGTTCGATTCTCAAGTGGGGAAATAATTTCACGGAGAGTCGCAATATCTGTGCTGGTTGTTAGGGTGGGCGCTGACAGGCTGGATCACAGCAGCCCGACTTCTATCAGATTGAAATAGTATCAAAATGGGTGTTACACATTTTTTTACGATCTGGATGTTACTACCCAATAGACATAATTATTTAGACCTTTACAGAGGTGGACTTCGACCCAGCTGGAGAAGGATACAACGTTCCAGCAGAAAGACCGAAACACTAAAAAAAAAATCTTCCCCCACAGGGAAATCGAACTCGGGTCTCACCACAGACACTGATTGAGGGGTGTTAAACGTTTATAATAATTTGTTAAGTCATTAACACTGTCGTACTCATTTGCTATCTTCACAGACATACACCCGTTCTCCCAGGCGTTTGGCGTCTCCGGTAAGTTGACTTTCTTCCATGTGACCCCTGGATTTGTATTCGTATATTTTTGTGTGATTTGTTAGCATAGTTGGTATTACGCTTGGCTTTGACATTAGGCACTAGTTAGGATTCTCTATGGGATGTTCCTGAACGTTGTCTTTATGTTTATTGGGTGTGTGTGAAACGTTGTCTTTATGTTTATTGGGTGTGTGTGAAACGTTGTCTTTATGTTTATTGGGTGTGTGTGAAAAAAAGGTGGGGGGCGTGGGCAGAAAGATATCAGAGCTTTTTGTTCCATTTGGTTCAGTTCTATCGGACGATGTATATGGAGGTCTAGATCTTAAATAATTTTACAGAGTTGGAAAGGTATTACAGGATACACCCCCCCTTCCCTAAAAAGTTAAATAAAACAAAAACCGCTTAATATACGATAAAGTCCTTTGGCAGAATGATGAAGGAATCATCTGTAACCTACACACAACATGGAAAAGAAATCTGCATTAGAACTGTTAGCTGTTAAAAAAACGGCTTCCACATTTCACTCCATTTTGTTAAGGCTTACTCTATTATGTAATGGTTTTCTGGTTTACATCCTCTTGTTTCAAACTGTTCGTGTCAGCCTCGAACAGCTCTTTCAGAAGGTGCACTAGATCTAGATCTGGAATCAGCTACTCCCTTCAAACAACAGCTTGTAGCTCTTTTACGGATTTCAGTTCAGTGGTGCTCGTCTAACCAGTTCAAATTTGAGCATAGAGTATGGTTTCCGGATATTATTAGACATCATTCCTCTCAAATTTGGTGCAGATCTGTGCAATTTTTAAAGATAGGTTCTAAGGTTAGTATTTGTTTTTCTCAACGGTCATTCGGTCTGGGACAGTGGGTATGTCACTGATAATACTATAATGTGAGCACATTCCCCTGTACACATGCACCACCCTTTCTTTGAGACTGTGGAAAAAATATCCCAGCATCCTCGTATTCATTTCACCTCATACATGGTAACTATCTGCTTTGTACGTGTTACACCTGAAGGCTATCTCGCTTACTACTAGACCGAAATTTACCAAATTTCACACATATAACAAGCATAGTAAGGAGTCTTGAAATCGGCAATCAAATCTGAGAAAAGGTTTGTTTCCATGGATACGGCGGCCATATTGGATTTTGTTGACATGTCTTACGTAATGAATACCGCACTTATCGCTCATGGAAATTGATTGTTGTTTTTTTGCATGCGTGTTTACAAACAATAGATCTAAAAATTTGTCTTTTTTTTCCTAAACGAATTAGAAAATATTAAATGAATTTTTTGTAAACTGGGTGAAAAATGGTGGAGTTATTCAAAAAAGTATAGAGAAAAGTCGCATTTTGAGAAAACGGCCGATAAAGAAAAATAAAATACTGACTTTATGAGGAAACGGCGGTAACAAACATGCCCAGTATGGGAAAAAATACGGTTTTTGGGGGCTCTTATGCAATGTATAGTGACAATATCGTGAGACACATAGAAGAAATGCCTGGTATCTCGATAGGGGGATATAATATAAACAATCTAAGATATGCAGATGACACAGTCCTAATAGCAGAAGATGAAGAACACCTGCAGAATCTGTTACATGTCATCGTACAAGAGAGTGAAAACATGGTCTTAAGCCTAAACATCAAGAACACCGAAACGTTGGTGATAAGCAGAAAAACTCCAATCCCAACATGCAATATCAAAATCAATGATACCACCCTCAAGCAAGTACAACATTTTAAATATTTGGGGACCATTATATCATCAGAAGGTAGATGTCACACCGAAATTAAAAGCCACATTTGCCAAGCGAAAGCAACCTTCCGCAAGATGAAACAGATACGAACAAATGTCATCTGTCACTGGAAACGAGGAAAAGAGTACTGAAAAGTTACATCGAGCCAATCCTATTATACGGGTGCGAAGCGTGGAAATCAATAAACAGCTGGAAAGAACAATTGTAGCGACAGAGTTGTGGTTCATAAGACGCATGCTACGTATCCCATGGACAGCTAGAAAAACAAATAAAGAAGTCCTGGTTGAAGCAAATTATAGAAAACAACTTATCACGAATATAGGAAAACGACAGGCAAATTTCTTCGGACACACAATGCGGAAAGAAGCATTAGAGAATATTGTAACAACAGGAAAGTTTGATGGAAAGAGAGGCAGAGGCAGACAGAGGGAAAAGATACTGGACAAGATGACAACATGGTTGGGAGCAGCAAGAACAACAGACACCATTGCTGCAGCGCAGGACAGGGTGAAGTGGAGGTCCATGATCGCCCACGCCAGTCGGCAAGGCACCGGATGATGATGATGATGCAATGGAATAGTTTTAGGAGAGGCTGAGGAAGCTAAAAATGCCTACAGCTCAAATTCCATAATTTTCAGCCGAATTTTGTAGCCCCCCCTTTAAAGATTCCATTATTCCAGAACTGATATTTTACTTGGGTGGTTGGCTGGTGTTTTTGTGTGGTTTGCGTCTTCTTTCCTATAAAATGTCTGTCATCCTTATCTCCTCACCTTCTTTTCTTCTTGTCTTAATAACGGTATCCTGACTCAATTATGATTCTGTAGCAGGTGCCATTAAACTGATCCATTAATGTGTACATACTCTTTCTTCTCCTTCTTCCTTTTCCCCCTCCACCTCCTCCTCCTCCCCCTCCTCCTCCTCCCCCTCCTCCTATTCTTCCTCTTTCTCCTCCTCTACCTCCCACTCCTTCTCCCCCCTCCCCTCTTCTTCTTCTTCTTCTTCTTCTTCTTCTTCTTCTTCTTCTTCTTCTTCTTCAACAAGGAAAGTTACCCCCCCCCCAAAGAAAAAATAGTACAAACGAACCGAAATTCCGGTTAGATCTTGGCTTAGATCTTGACAGCAGACGACGAATATCGTAGGCGAGAGATTCGATATGAACAATAAATATTGCCCGATCCAAGTGGTAGAGTTGCTTCCCCTGACACATCGACGCCTCGTAGGCCAGTCCGTTTTGTTCAATTGGATTTTCCAATGCTGCTTTTGAATTATGTGTTGAGTTTGAGCTGCTTATGTTGAATAGGTTTTACTATAATTTTGATATTTGAATTTTCATCGCTGCATAATATGGATGCTCCGTTTTCTTATAAAAGCGTTAAACTAAAATTATGTAACTGCATTTGACTTGATAAATTGAACATTTACTGGTATGTTTCCCCAGGTGAACTTCACCTCCAGGTGGACGCCCCGCATGTGAGTGACCAGAAGGGGCCTCAGCTTCCTAGTTTGTGATGACCTAGATAGATAAGTCAAGTATATCGGTTTACGGCATCCGTAGTCTTGAGCTTTTGAACACATGCATTGTCAGTTCAAAGAGCTCTGGGCCCTGTGCCGTTGTAATAATAATTATTATAATTTTAATTATAGTTGTAATTATAATAACAATAACAATAATAATGATAGTACTAATAATATTAATTTAATTATAATTTCGAAATAATAATAATCTCACTACTAATGGAGCTAAGGCCAAATTTTGCGTACAGTATATTCTCAGAAACTACCCAATGAAAAAATATTAAACTTTGCCAGTACCCATAACTTGAAACGTAGTGTTGCACTATTGTATTTTCATTTAAGATCAAATGTGTAAGAAGAAAGCCCATTTTAAGTTAAATTCAGTTCTTTTGTAGCGATTGCCATCATTTGCTTCGACATTGTATATTCACTGCGGAGTGCCGACTGCGTCAAAGGATATTTTGTGTTCAGTTTTAATACATAAAGTAGGTTTACAGGAATTCCCGGTTTCGGTCTCATAGAAGAAGACTAGTAACAATAATAATAATAATAATAACAATAATAATAATAATCGATCCTTGAAATAGAGACACCTCAATGATTACCTAAATGAAAGTTTTGAAATACTATGTATGGTTAACCCTTCTATTATGGCTGTGAATGCTGGACAATCATTTAAGACAGTAAAAAAATAGAAGCAACAGAAATGTGGTTTCTTATGACACTGTTGAAAATATCTTGGAAGGAAAAGAAATCAAATGAGGTAGTGCTTGATGAAGTCCACGTGGGACGCTCACTGATAAAGATAATCAGGAAAGGACAAATTAAGTTTTTTGGACACCTGAATAGACATAAAGGTATTGAACATCAAGCTCTTACTGGCAAAATTGAAAGCAAACGAGACGGGAGTAGGCCCTGAGCAACCTACTTGAAGAACCTAAGCAGATAAGCAACGGGGTAAGATCAGAGTAATGTAGCTTTTGTAAGTGGGGGGGGGGGG